AACGATGTTGATTTACTAACAAATCTTTTTAATAATTATTGTCTTTCTATTTTAGGCAATGTTTGTCCTCTCAGAACCGTCCCTGTGAAAAAATGACAGTATTTGCTATTTAATTCCTGTTGTATTATAGAGGAAAACTTGTCTACATGTTAATCTCTTTCATTTAAAGGCCCTTTTGGTTTCATTTAACGCATCAGTTTGAGATGCAAGGGCTGCTTATTTCTCAGACTTAGTTTCAAGGAGCAGAGGTAACCCCAAGGTATTATTTGACATCATTAGTGATATTGTTGCTCCTGCTCCACCTGCTGGTCCAGTTTCATTGAATGAAGATTGTAAAAATGTTCTTTCTTTCTTCATTGAAAAAGTTAGTAATGTGAGGAACAATATCTGTCCTTCTGTCTCTCTGTTTAGTAACGCTGCATTACTGCGTTACTAAACCGTGATTTATTTATTTATTTTTTTTGCGAGAATGTCTCATGACAGTGACGTAAGCGAGTGCAACGTTCGTGACAACAGCTGTGTGCATGAACTTGGGATTTAGGGACTCCGTGATCTCGTTTAAAAAACAGCTAAAAACTCATCTTTTAAAATTTCCTTGTGGTTATTTTTTTATGTTTTAGTTTCTTGTGAAGCACTCTGTGATGTTTATTTTGAAAATTGTAATACAAATAAAATTTTACTTGCTTTGTACTTACTTAATTTGCTATATATAACTTTAGTTTTTCTGAAAATTCTAAGAAATTTCTTTATTAAATAAGTAAACTGAAAATAGTGTTTATTCTATTTTATAGTTTTAATATTGGATAACAACTGACTTGAACATAATATGAATGTGTTTTCACTCTGGGAACTGTGGATCCATTGATAGCTTTAGTAATCTAAAAGTTATTTATATTTAGAGGTTTGTCGTTTTCCATTTGCATTTAGATAGGCCGATGCATGGTGATTCTCTGATGTGTATCTGTTTCTACCTGTGTTGATGCAAGCATGACCAAAGCTAGCCAAGAAGCAGTAAATATGTGAAGCAAGGCAGAAAGATATACTCATCAAATGAACAAAATCTTAAGAATATAACACCAGCACTGCATATGTAACAAAGATGTGTTGACACAATGACAAATCTATTTCCTCCTAATTTTGTATTTATTTTCCCCCAAATTGTACAAATTAGTCTGTGATTGGCCTTAGTGTACCTAAAATCATATTTATACAAAACTAAATATGACTCGCGAATATGTTTCAAATGGATAATTCCTCACTTGATGACAAATCACCCATTTACGTATTTGCTGTGTCCTAAATTTGATGCCAGTGAACTTCTCAGCGGTTGATTTAACAAAGCCCCAAAATCCCCTATGAGCAAGCACTTGGCGACAGTGGGGAGGAAAAACTCCCTTTTAACAGGGAGAAACCTCCGACAGAACTAGGCTCAGAAAGGGGTGGCCATCTGTCGCGACCGAGTGGGGTTCAAATGTTCACTGAAAATTTAGTTTTATATAAATATGATGTTGAGCTCAAAAAACTGTAAAGTTCCTAACTCTCACAGCTTCTCTGCAAAGGGTTTCCCTAAGAGAGAGGAAAAGTGGTTATCAAGAACTTGAGGACATTACCTACATATAAACAATTATAAATTTGTTGGGGTTTTTTCACAATGTCAGAAGGAGAGAGGCACTGAGGCACCATCTTCCGCCCCCCTGCGCTCCTGCTCTGCCTTTTCCTTCTGACAGGAACTGCCTACAGAGCAAGTATGAATGATGCCTGAGTGGATGTACACGACTCACAACTTCCTGGCTCTCTCAGGTCCTCTGCAGAGGGTCTCCCTAGGATGGCGGGCATAGCAGGGCCACAGGGGACGGGGGGCTGTGCCTCACTGCCCTCCCCTCGTCGAAGAAACCCTCGTGCAGAGGAGTTCAGAAAGCCAGAAACTTGTGTGTGTTGACTATGTCCTTGTGAGC